GAACGCGGGGGAACACAGTTTCCCCGGGTGAGGTGCAGGGGGCGGGCACATGACAAAGCCCCGCCCCCTGCTTCTGGCCGCCCCGCTTCCAGCCCTCATTCAGCCAGGAGGAGGCAGGAGAAGAGGGAGGGTAAGTTGCTTCCTCCCCGCCTCTCCCCACCCCTGCCTGCCTGGGGCCAGGGAGGGCCTTGGCGGGGCTTCCTTGCACTCCCGCTGGCCTTGCAGGTCCACCGTCGGGCCCCTGATGTCAGGGGGTGTGGCATATGCTAAAGAGTTCCCCTAGCTCTTTTTCTACGAAATGACCCCTGCTCACAACAACCCTGTGAGGTAGGTTAGGCTGAAAAGGGTGACTGGCCCCACGATGCCCAGCACATTTTCATGGCATGAATGGTCTTCAAACCTGGGTCTCCCAGATACTAGCCCGACACTCTATACGACACTATACAACACTGGCTTTCTGAAGTATCAGTGAGTGCACCCTTCTCATTTGGTGGCCAAAGTATTTGACCTTCAGCCTTTGGTTTATTTAGGTATAATGGTGGATGCTTCAAATCAATGTTCCCTCTAAGCTGTGGAGTCCTGTGAGCAAAACTTCTACTTTGTGAGCAACTGGCATTAAAGCTGTGGGTGACTGATTTGGCTACTGCATAAATTAGTTTGCTCTGTGAGCCGGAGGCTAAAAAACTGTGAGCTAGCTCACACTAACTCATCTTAGAGGAAACACTGCTTGAAATATACTCCAGGAATAATAGTTTTCCCCTGGAAAGGCTCTCCTCTTTATACAAATCTTTGTTTTATTTTAGGAAGAAAGCGTGACTATGAAAAAATGACTGAAAATTGGGTTTATTAGTATAAGACTAGACTTGGATTCCAAATATGATTAAGCAGAATATTATACAAGTGTTACATGGTAGATTAGATTAGGACATAGCAAGGAGGTGAAGAGTGTGCCCCCCCCCAGACCTCCGAATTTAGGTCCCGCTGTAGAGTTCTTCTCTATAGCGCCCATAGGTAAAGGTAAAGGTTCCCTTGCTCAAAAGCCAGTCGAATATGTAGATTGGATATACTCAATTAAAAATATTATATATAAAAAAAGAATATATCTGAATTCAGGACGTTTGTGCCCCGGAGTTAGCCTAACGTTTGCGGCATTTGTGATTGCTCTTATTAATGGACTGAAAACTAGAAGAGCTTTTTGAAACTTGAACTGGAAGGGGAGGGATAAGTCTGTTCTTTGAGGCAGTAGAACTGATGTCTTTTACTGGAGAGTAAAAATTTTGCTCTGAATCTAGGGCGTTTGTAGTTGGAATGACAATGAAGGGGGCAGGGGTGTGAACCCAGCTGGAAGCTGGTTTTGGATAGCAGAAGAATAGGGGCGCCTTCTCCCCCCACCTCCACATCCCTTCTCTGGCTTGGTTTGTCTTTTGGCTCGGGAATTTTGGTGGCTTCCGCTTTTAATTAGCAGGGGAGGCAAAATGTAGGTTTTTTGTTTTTTTACACATCTCTTCAGTTTGTTATTAAGAAGGAGAGATTGGATTTATAGATCAATGTGAAAGGCGATCTGGGCCAACCTGCATTGTCCTCCAGGAGGAGGAGCGGGATTGCCTGTGTGGCAATGTTTCATTGTGTGCCCAGGCCCAGAGGTGAAGCCTGTTTAGAAGAAGAAGAGATTGGAATTATACCCCACCCTTCACTACCCGAAGGAGTCTCAGAGCAGCTTACAGTCTCTTTCCCTTCCCCTCCCCACAACTGACACCCTGTGAGGTAGGTGAGGCTGAGAGAGCTCTTTCAAGGATTGCTCGTGCGAGATCAGCTCTGAGGAAACTTGTAACCGTGCCAAGGTCACACCAGCAGCTGCATATGAAGGAGCAGGGAATCAAACCCGGTTCTCCCAGATTAGAGTCCGTGCACTTAACCACTACACCAAACTACCCAGCACAACCTCTAAGCAATGTTCCCTCTAAGCTGTGGAGTCTTGTGAGCAAAAGTTCTACTTTGTGAGCTACTGGCACTAAAGTTGTGAGTGAGCAATTTGGCTACGGCATAAATTAGTTTTCTCTGGAGCCATCCTTCCTGAGCGAAAGCAAAAATGTGTGAGCTGGAGGCTAAAAAACTGTGAGCTAGCTCACACTAACTCAGCTTAGAGGGAACACTGCCTCTAAGGAGTTCTTTTTTAAAAAAATCAGTAAAAAGAAAGCTGGATACAAAACTTTACAAGTGCCTCTTCGACACTATACACAAATCATACCGTCATTATTAGGTTCAAGTCGCCACCCTAGTCTGAATAACATTCAATTTATCTCATCTTAATTTTTCTTTTACCATTCAACGTACAGGTTAATTTATCCAACTGTACGCGTTTCTTTTGCTTCTCCAGCCACTCCTCTTTATTTGGAGCTCTGCTCCTTTCCCAGTACCTGGAAAAGACTAATCTTGTGGAGGTTATGGCATTTAAAACCAAGTCCTCGAGTCCCTTTGGGAAGAGAGTCTACCTCAGGGGTCCCCACCCTTTCCTAACCTGTGGCCACCTTTGGAAATCCGACACCATGTGATGGGCACAGCGACAAAATGGCTGACACGGAAGGAGGAGCCAGCCCAGAAAGGCTTTTGTGGCTTATTTTTAGTCGTGTGGGGAAGATCCTCGTGCTGTGGTGGCAGCAAAGCAACGTTTTTAAAAACCTGCACAGCCAACCGACTCTCCAGTGGCCAATGAGAAACCTTGCTGGTCAAAAGCTTCACCTGGGCCCGCCCACTTTCTGAAAGCACTTGGGCGGGCACCAGAAAAGGTATCGGCAGGCACCATGGCACTAGGGTTGCCTGGTCCTACCTTGTCACTGGCAGGGGGATTTGGGGGCATTCTTGGTGTTCTGGTTTGAGGGCAAAGCTGTATGGTTTGAGGCAGTGTTCCCTCTAAGCTGAGTTAGTGTGAGCTAGCTCACAGCTTTTTAGCCTCCGGCTCATTGATTTTTGTCTCAGCTCAGGCACGTTGGCTCCAGAGCAAACTAATTTCTGCAGTAGGTTTAATCGCTCGCTCACAACTTTAACGCCAGGAGCTCACAAAGTAGAATTTTTGCTCACAGGACTCCACAGCTTAGAGGGAGCATTGGTTTGAGGGCAAATTTATCATAGAGTTTTCCCCCCTCAAACCAGAGTGTCCCTGTGACGTCACTGACATGATGACGTCACTTCCAGGTGATGTCATTGCATCGGGGATGTGGCTGTTTGGGGGCAGGGTTTCCCCATTGGCCAGCTGGCCAGCGGTGGGCAGAAGCCCCCAAAACCATGGAAACCCCCACCACGACCTCGGACTGACAGCCCTGCGTGGCACCCACCGATACCATGTTGGGTCCCCCTGGCCTACATAATCCAGCAGGAAACAATTAGGAGAGAATGGTAACACTTGCCAATTTCTTGAGAAGTAGCTCTAGAAACCATTTCCCAATAGTCTTTGGGATCTACTACAACTCTACCACATATGTGGAAAGTTTGCATCAGCAACTCCACAAATCCGGCAATCACCTCCACTGAGTTCTGGGTGCCGATTAAAAACGTAATTCCCTAAGCCATGCCACATAGTTGGATTTGTCCGGTCTTATGGATCGTCGTTCCAGTATTTTTGGATGGTTTAAAACTGTTGCGTACTTGCTCTGCGTTTTTTTTTTTATGGCCCACTTTTGAGTCTTTCCTGAGAAAAGCTGGACTGGAAATCCCTTGGGTGATTAAGTAAATGCCTTCTCAATTTCCTCCCTCCCTAGATTACTTACGAAGTGAACCCGATTTCCTCGAAGAACTGGTGTTTGGAAGCGGAGATACCATTGAGCTTCGTTGTGACTCTCCAGGTTCTTCTGTGTCTGTCTTCTGGTACAAAGATGGCATCGGGATATCGCCTAGTAACCGGACTCATGTCGGGCAAAAGTTGTTGAGGATTATCAATGTGTCCTACGATGACGCGGGCCTGTACAGTTGTCGGACGAGGCACTCCCTGGAAATACTCAGGAACTTCACAGTCAGAGTAGCTGGTAAGTCCGATGATGACGTTTCGTCGCTTTCTTTCGTTTTCTCCATGTTGTTGTAAAGATCTAAATTGGTAATCCCCGGCATGGTGCACAAGCACCATGCTGCCCAGGGCTCTTTTTGTAGAAAAAGCCCAGCAGGAACTCATTAGCATAATAGGCCACACCCAACAGCAAAATCCATTAGCATATTAGGCCACAACCTGACAGCACCGCTCATTAGCACATTAGGCCACACCCCCATGTTACCAGAAGTGTGGTTATCCAGCCACACCCACCTTTTGCTTCTTATTCTGTTTACCTTGTTTGTTGTCAAAACCCAGGGCTTTTTTTGTAGCAGGAACTCCTTTGCATGTTAGGCCACACACCCCTAATGTAGCCAATCCTAATGAGTTTCTGCTGTTGGGTGTGGCCTATTATGCTAATGAGTTCCTCCTGCTGGGCGTGGCCAACTCGGGAGCCAACCGGGAACTCCGTTCCTGTGCGTTCCTGCCCAAAAAGAGCCCTGATGCTGCCCATCAAAATGTTTCCTGGTGCCCACTTCCTCCTTCAGCAACCCCAAAAGCCAATCCTGGCTTTCTCCCCAAATCTTTGGAGCAGGAAATACTTCGGAAGAATGCAGGAGGCACCGTCTCTCTGTCCACAGGGAGTGCCCTTTGGGAAATGGTTGTCTGCCTCGTAAACGGACCCTCGATTTGGAACCTCCTAATGTTTTGTGATTGGCCCCAGCACCTGTGGCAGCCGTTTCTGGGGTTCTCAATGCACCATCTAGATTTACAAGCCTGTACCGTTTCCGTATTGAGGTTGGCCCCAGGACTGAGCTTAGCTTGAAAATCAGATAACTTTTATCCATGTTTTTTTTTTTAATTGATCAACCGGATTTTGCATAATAACGTGTCGGGGGGAAGGGTAAAATTAAGAAGGCTGCACGCAGAGCTGCCAGCTCCGAATTGAGAAACACCTGGAGATTTTGGGAGTTGAGCCTGAGAAAAGCAGGGCTTGGAGAGGAACTTCAATGATGCAGAGTTCACCTTCCAAAGTGTCAGGGTCCTTAGTCAGGTTACTCAACGCAGGGCTTCATGAGAAGATAAATGTTTATTAGTAAATCCAGTACTAGAGACACGTGTACAGTTTGTGTCAGGAATGGCCGCCAATACTAGGGCCTCTGACTTATACCAGAATCAAACATCCCCCCCTTCCCCGGTAAGCATGAGCCAATGGATACATCTCTCGCGCGCGGGCAAAGCAAGCAGGCAAAGCTAAAACCGTTCACTTTCCCAGCCCAGTAAAACTGCATCTGGAGCATCTACAAGGTCAGGCATAAGATAGCGAACAGTTGGTGAGCCAGGGAGAGCTGAGACAGAAAATGGGAGGGCACCCCTCCACATTCCAGACCTACGACAGGGCTGCCTGACACAAAGCAGCCATTTTCGCCAGGGGAACTGATCTCTGTCGCCTGGAGATCTGTTGTAATTCCAGGAGATCTCCAGCCACCACCTGGAGGCTGGGAACCCTGGCCATCCCGTACCCCAGAGTGCTGTTGTGTGAGACTGCCAAGTTTAGAGTATGATGAAGTTTCTGCTCTCCGGGCTTTGAAGTTTTCTGGCTCCAACAGTGCAGCGGAATCGCCCTTCAGCTATTAGCTGTTGTCTTGGTGAGGAGGAAAAACCTGGTCCTTGAACCCTGAACCTAAATGAGGAGGGAGAGGCTACTTACTCATCAAAATAAGTCCTTATCTGCTTATGAAATTTTAAGGTATACTTAAAACTAGATTGATGGGAAATTGTAGTGAAATGCTTAGACTCTGCTTAAATATTTTTTTAAAAATGCAGTGTTAAATATAGGCTTGCAAAGATATCAGTTGGGTATATAGTAGAAAGATCGGCAATTAGATACATATATGTATGAGGTGGTTTAAGAGACATAATGTTGCTATTATCACTCTCGTGTATATTTGTCTCTCTGTCTGCTTTGTTGGAGCTGCGGTGGCTCAAGTGGTTAAGACGTTGAACTACAGGCTGTGGAAAGTCAGTAGTTCAGCAGTTCGAGACCCGGGTTGCCACATGACGGAGTGAGCTCCCATCTCTAGTTCCAGCTCCTGCCAACCTAGCAGTTCAAAAGCAGGAAAGTGCAAGTAGATAAATAGGTACCAGTTCGGTGGGAAGGTAACAGCGTTCCGTGCACCTTGGTGTTTAGTCATGCCAGCCACATGACCACGGAAATGTCTTCGGACAGTGCTGGCTCTTCGGCTTGGAAATGGAGATGAGCACCGCAACCCTAGAGTCGGATTCGACTGGCTTTCGAGCAGGGGAACCTTTACTGTTTTGTTTAAAATAATAAAAATTATATAAAAATTAAATCCTTACATAAAAATGCAAAACACAGGTTGATCTGTGAATGGAATGCAGCCGCTAAGCGGTATTGCAGGGAGTATTTTATGTACCCGGGTTCCCCGTGACGTTTATTTAGTTTCCTCCTCAGCGGGCTGAATCCCTGTGCAAAGAGCCCCACTGAGGTCAAAAGGAACAAAGCTTCTAAATTGATTTCATTTGTTTCAAACATTGATTAGCTACCTTTCTTCCTTAAGAGAGTTCAAGGCCGTTTGCAACAGAGATAAAACCTAAAATACATCAAAATCATAAAAACCAAGAATTTTAAGATCAACTCGGGACTGCTAGTAAACCTAACTAAATGCAAACCTCAATAAAACCATCTCCAGCCGCTTCCTAAAGACTGAGAGTGTGGAGACAAGGCGCATCTCTCTGCCCCAGGAGGTGGCGGCGGCTACAAGCATGGATGGCTTCAAGAGGGAATTAGATAAGCAGATGGAGCAGAGGTCCATCGGTGGCTATGAGCCACAAGGTATAGATAGAAACTCTCAGGCTGGGGCAAGTGATGCTCCTTATTCTTGGTGCTTGGGGGGGGGACAGTGGGAGGGCTCCTAGTGTCCTGGCCCCACTGGTGGACCTCCTGAGGGCACCTGGTATTTTTGGCCACTGTGTGACAGAGTGTTGGACTGGATGGGCCATTGGCCTGATCCAACATTGGCTTCTCTTATGTTAAGAGCAGACGTCCATCAGTGGCTATTAGCCACAAGGTATAGATAGGGACTCTGGGGCAAGTGATGCTCTGTATTCTTGGTGCTTGGGGGGGGGTCAACAGTGGGAGGGCTTCGAGTGTCCTGGCCCCGCTGGTGGACCTCCTGATGGCACCTGGTATTTTTGGCCACTGTGTGACAGAGTGTTGAACTGGATGGGCCATTGGCCTGATCCAACATGGGCTTCTCTTATGTTCCTATGTTCCATAATTGTGGGGCTGTCACCAAAAAGACCCTCTCTTGTATACCTACCGAATGCACCTCTTTGATTGTTTGAGGCAGTCAGGAGGGCCTTCCCCTGTGGTTTTAATCCCCGGGCAGGAACCGATGGGATCTGAAAAGTAAACACTTGGGTGAATATAGCTTCATGAAAACATCTTCTCCCTTTACTGTGGCACTTTGAGCCAAACGTAATATGATGGCCATGGATCCATGCTGTGCCATTTTAGACGCAGTTGTGATTCTTTGAAAACTGCCGCAAAGCCCAGATCTGGATCTGGTGCATGGCACAGCGGGTATGGGAGCGCTTCTCCCTGCCCTCGATGCCTTTTCGGCACTTGAAAAGTTGCCGCCTGTCAGTCTGGATC